TCAATAAATTTGGGTTAAATACTCTACCTTTGAAAACTGTTGCAATCCTTCGTACTTGTGGGTTATCAACTACCTCGGCAGCGGCGGGAGCGGCGGCAGTTGTTCGTCCACCCGCAGCGCCATGATGGCACAGGAGTACGCCAACCGGGAGCAGCGTTGGCGGGACAGCTGCAATGCCTCGCGCCAGTCCATGTTCGTGGATTGTGACGTCCTCCCGCCACACACGTGGTGGACCCAAACCTGGCGTACGCCAGGGCCTTAGACCGCTCGATGACGACGTCGGAGACGGCCAAGCGCCGTCTCGGTCGCCTCGACGGGTAGATGGCCAGGTACAGCGATCAATGATCCCTTGCCAAGATCGACACCACGAACGACGCCTCCTCCAACGACCGCCACCCTTTCCCCCAGCCAACGCAGGAGGAAGCGGAGAGGATCATGCACGAGCGTCAGGCGACCGCTGGGAAGCCCTGCCACGACGCCGCCACCTTTCGTCGCCGGAAGCCCGATGACGAAGAAGTTGGACCGGGCATCGATGACGGAGGAGGAGCCGCCGGCCAGCCCGACATGGCCTACGAGGTCACCGTCAAGTATATGATAGTTTAGGGTTTTTAGTTCACCAGACGAAATATTGTCCGGTTTTATGTACAAATTGTACTCGTTTCAATTAAATCCGTCATGTTTATATCAAAAGTCGCCCAATTTTATTGAATCTCGTCTGGTTAGTTTGAGTTGTTGGTGAAATATATGTGTCTATGGTTGGATGACGTCCTCCCACATCTGCGTCTGCAGAGTGGTCCCCTCTGTCCGCGGAGGGATGCGGGAGGAAATTTGCGGGTTGAGATGCCCTTACCACAATGGCCAAATTTGCCCCCACAAACGTCCACGGATGCACCCGGTTAGTGTTCGGACGTGTCTGGGCATGTCACATTTAAGTCCCTATTTTTCCGTGCACGCAACCATACTCCCCACTTTTCCTTCTATATGTCCGATCATATGCATATGATTGGTAGGATGGAAGGAGAGAAAAAATAAAGAAAAAGAAAAGGTGTGGACCAAATCCTATGTGGCACACTGCTCGGGCACGCCCAGGCATCCCCATATCCTCCCCATATATAAGCTGGGTAAGAGAGTTTACGTACAGTCCGGACATATGTGGACAAACTGGGGATCCATTTGGGTCACTTTTTTCCTTTTTCTCTCTCCTGATCGGGCAGCGACCGGGCTGTCTGCCCTGATGTTTGAGGAGGATTCGGGTTACCGACTGTAGATGCTCTAAAGAAGTACTGCGTGATTTAATCGATTGATTGAACTGTGTAAAACTAAACCAATTGGCCTGGATCCTTCCTATAGAAAGAACGCCATCTGTATGGAAGGGGATTGGTGGCACGCCCGGACGGGGCACCGACTTTATTTTTCTCCTGGCTTTCGATTTTCAATGTTCTGAAAAAAGTTCCAATTAAGTTACTTTGCATACTCGTGGTCCTGTACTAGTGCTTCTGATCTACCTCCTTCCCTGCTCCATTGGTGGAAGTGAATTGATCCACGTCGATCCACTTCAAGGTACATAGTTGTTCTACTTATCTATACTATTTGTACTGGACCCATTCATATTCGTGGTGGTGTTGGTGATTTCTAGAGCGTGTTGTCAAGTGGGGCAAGGTAGGATTACACTGAATTGTGCCTCGTGGAATTTGTTGCTCATCTCGGTTAGGTCTTAGGAAAATATCACAAATTGTTCATAATTAACTTTTCTTGGGTAAGAAAAACTATTGTTATATGTCTGATTATCCTTTATGACTAGATTTCTCCTATTGCTTCTATGATATGTTGGAATTATTGCTGTTTTAATATATAAGGGTGTTCTAACAATAAAATTGGTGATGTGTTGTTTTTGCTCATTCAGAGTGATGTACATCTTTATTGCTCATTTAGAGTGATGTACATCTTTATTCAGAACCTCGTTGGCAAGACGATCCGCCTCAGCCCTCAGTGTCGACCCATCAGATACTAGTTGATTACAACATCCAACATGTGTGGTGTTTGTCGGTTTCCCTTAATTAACCATGTCATGTATGATTGGTTCGGTTTTCCTTATTAACTGGACTAACTCTCTTTCTTCTTAATGCAATACAGGAGCTCTCCGTCATTTGATGAGGTTCTGTAAAAAAAAAAGCAGCCATCATGAATCTACGCTCGACCTTGAACAAATGATGTAGATCTTTGTGACCGAGAGGCTTATGGACAGGACCATCGCTCTCGACGTCGACAGCCTAGACACCATCGACGGTGTGAAGGCAAGATCGAGGACACCAAGGGTTTTCGCAAGGCCCAGCAATGCCTCATCTTCGTCAACAAGCGGTTAGAGGATGGGAACAACACCTTGGTCGACTGAGTCCACCCTTCCCCTTGTCCTCCTCCCATGCATTAGACTATTGGTTGGGGCGCGCCTTCAAGCGCCTCTTGAGGTGTTTATGTGCGCTCCTATCTTTTCTCAGCGCATTGGGCTGCCTTGTTTGATCCCAAGTTCCGCTCCAGAATGATTTGAGTTAGAAATGTTAGTTTAGATAAAGTGCACGTTCAAAATTGATCATGTAGGCTACACTTGACTTACGAAAAGAGAGCAAATAGCACATCAAATGTAGATGCCGAATGACCTTGTCCATTCCTGGCAAGTCAGGTCGAACAGTTCAATCAGCACGGAGGTGGGCATCGGCATGGCGGCAGAACTATTAATTGTGTGGCACTGGTTGGACGTCGGCAAGGATGGTGGCGTTGGTCCCGCCGCCCTCAGGACGCCACTGCATCGTAAGAGAGTTGGCGTTCGCAGGGAGAGGGCCAAGATGTTGCCTCTGGATTCCTGCGTGGGAGTCACTAGCAGACATGGCGGTAGCGCCAGTTCTCGCGTCGCAGTCTCTAGTGGTGAGGCCGGTGAGGTGGAAGGGTCCGAAGAGGACTTGGAGCTATGCATACTCCAACCAATCATCTGGATATGCATTACTTACAGGTAGTGAGTTTGATAAATGTTGAGGATCTTTGCAAGTTACAACTTCGTTCAAGCTGAAATAGATAAATGCATTGTAAGACAAAAACATCATCAAGGCACATCGTCATGCTGAGGATGTTTCAAGCTACAATTTGGTTTGTTTTTGTCTTGTCCCTATCCCCAAGTTCCAGTGCCTCTTTTTTCTTGTTTTCTTTTATCTTTCTTTTTGGGTTTTCTTTCAGTTTTCCCTGATTAGCCGAGAATGTTAGTTTTCGGGTCCAGTTTTCCTTATAAACTGGACCAACTCTCTTCTTCTTAATGAAATGCAGGAACCCCCTGCCCCTCTCGAGGTGTTCTCGAAAAAAATGCACTGTAAAAAGAAGGGAGAAGTTTCTGACCATTTAGAGTCTCTGACCTCAGGTTAATTGGTAGTTGTAGTGTCAAGTGATCACCACTATCCAATTGCTTGGTGACTGATAGAAAAGTTCATGATAAAAACAAAGATTCAGTTACAACAATAACGCCTAGGGTTCATCAAACATTTGTCAAATCTCTGTGGCCCGTGAACTTACCTGGAGATGCTATTTGCAAATCATTATCATTCAAAGTTTCTTGGGTGCCATTCACAGATGAAAATGATGGTACTTCTCATGTTTACTTCCACCTTGCTAACACCATGATCAAGACAGTGAATACCTGTTGGATCATATAAAAGGGGCACACTATATTACACCAAATACAGAGAAGAAACAAATAGATTCCAAACTGAAGCAAATCTATTTTGGCTCCTAATATCAACAGGCACAGAAGCTCAAAGTTTAGGCACTACTAGCAATAATCTGAACATGCAGAGGAAAAGATCTTTCTGGCGGCCACCTTGCTGAACACCACGATCAAGACGGTGAATACCTGTTGGATCATATAAAAGGGGCACACTATATTACACCAAGTACAGAGAAGAAACAAACATATTTCAAACTGAAGCAAATTTATTTTGGCTCCTAATATCAATAGGCACATAAGCTCAAAGTTTAGGCACTATTAGCAATAATCTGAACATGCAGAGGAAAAGATCTTTCTGGCCCCCACCTCGAGGCGTGCACGGCCGCTTGTCAGCTCACCGACCAGCACCACATCATAACCTGGAGCGTGCGCAACCGTTCTGGGAAAGAGTAGAGATTAACACTGAATCAAATTGATGGTTAATGTAACTGAAGCTAGATCCTATTTTCTGAACCAAACATCAAGTAAAGAGTAGCAATCAGTCATAAATTATTTGATTAAGATATGTTCATGGCATTCCCTGGTCCAAGGTTGTACCTGATGTTGATGGGGGTCGAATTTGGTTGTGTAGCTCTGTGTATGTTTTCCTCGCCAGCATTGATGTGGACAACGAGTGGCGATGGTCTCAGCCTTAGCGTGCCCACCCTGGGCGCCCATGTCAAATAAGAAGCCCACGGCCTTACCAGAGAGGCTCTGCTTCTGCCATCCACCCGGCCGACGTCTCTTCTCTGTCGGCAGCCTGCAACAGCATTCATTAGTAGTTACAACCAACTAAGATATATGCAAATGCTCAATCTCGTCTCATCTTGTCTGAAGATGCAGGTACCTTCTCCGGCATGTATTTGAAAACAGTCTTCTTCTGTATAAATTTATCAGATCTAGTGCTACGGATCCCTACTCTGAACCTTTTGTTCAAGGAATAAAGGCAACAAACCAAACAAACCATACGCAGAAATCCATAACAAGCCGGCAAAGCACATATAACTGGTGCCAAATCCATAACAAGCCGGCAAAGCACATATAACTGCTGCCTAGTGTATATTACATGAGAAGGTACTACAGACATACATAAGCAACCACATATAGTCAAATACAGTACATAACAAGCTGGCATGCACATATACCACTGCTGCCTTGAGCTGTTGAGCATCCATAAGTTAGGAGTACAGAGATACATAGCCCCTTAAAACAGTAATAACTTAGTAGAGCTGGCAATAACTTAAGAGATATGCGCTCATTCAACTTGACGCTCCTGAACCACCACGCCTTCACCTTGACGCTCCTGAAGGACGACTTCATCTTTGTTGCTTATCATAGAATCAGTGAAACAGATTGCGACACAGGTAAAGAAATACTTCAACGTAAGTGTACGCATCTTGTTTCCAACCTCCACATGTACATCAGAATATTGTCTTCAAAAGATGAACAAAACAATATGTTATATTTAACATCCCAGATGCAAGAGGTAGGAAAATTCGATAACCTGCTACTTAATTAAACATCACATGCTACTTACTTGATGATTTCTTCAGTGTGCTCACAATATTTGCCTAACACCTCTGCACTAGAGTGAAGATCCACATATGTAGCAGATTCAATATTGTTTCTTAGGAGAAGAGCCTTTTCGAGATCACTCTGCAATGGAATAGAGGAGCAATATGAGGCTGAGAATATAGCAACAAAGATACTACCTTTAATCTTGTTAGGATTAGCTTTGTGTAAGTTCCTAGGATGCTAATTCGTCCATCTCCAGATAGAGCACAAAGCAGAGACACTACAGTATATTAGATGTGCCTCAAATAAACCAATTCCAAAAGAAATATTAGAGGAGCTGGCAAGTTAACGTTGATTGCCAAAACAACCAACCAAGTTAGCTAACTTCAATTTCATTACCAAATACACAATACCCAGGCTAGCTAGTTTGAGGAGTCACATAGACACAGTTCTGATTTGAATCCAAATATTTAACTATCATATGTGTAACTAACTTTCTAGACACAATAGCATTAAAAAAAGAACTGCAACCAATCTCATTGAAATTATTGAACTTCTCCTGCTGGGAGTTTACAAATGTCCAGCACCGACCTAAAGGTAAAAGGAGAAACATTTTCATGACAATTTAATAGCCATAACTGATGAAAAGATGGTTACTTAAGTAAACACACAATTTGCATATGAATTTCAGTGTAACCTGTAACAGCCAAAGGCACATGTGAAAACCATGAGATTGGGAAGGCAGATAGCTAATGCAGATGAAATAGTGCAAAAAAGGCAAGCCACAAGGATAGACGACGATGTTAATACTTAATTAGCGAGCCATGCACGAATGAGAATGCTGTACATACGCTCTAAAGACTAAAAATTGCTGCTTAACGAAACAAGCAACATGATGCAACAATTTGCAAAGGGTGCGACTTGAGGTACCGATCGGCGAAGGATAAAGATTCGAAATTGGGTAAATCGAAGAGACGAACTACCAATGGATTGGTGAACCATACGCATGCACACATTGATCACAAAACATATAGGTAGTGTCCTAGCTCTGCGTAGTAGGATGAACTGGTGATTTACTTAGCGCGGTGAGATTCACTTGAGCGCGGTGTGGGAGACGGACGGAGCAAACCTTTGGAGTTGTGGAGTGGGAGATGGCCAGAGGACCCGGCGCAGGCGAAGCCCGAAGGGCGGCAGGCCCGGGGATCCGTATCTTGGCGGCCAGGTTGCGTAGCGCCGCCACCGCCATGGTTCGCCGCCGGCACCAGAGATCGATCTGGAACAGGGATGCGGCTAGGGTTCGAGATTGGGATTCCTCTTTCCTTGTGTCTCGTCCCCTGTCCAATATATAAAAGAGAGCGTGCCTGGCGGGCCGGCCTGTCCCCTTGGGCTGGGCTGGCCTCGGTCCGTCTATTTTTCTCCAAAATGCTAGCCATATACCCTCGTGTTTCACACAAAATCCCCAAATCACTAATTGAGGAGCGCTCCCCGCAACGATTAGTCGCGGAGCGCTCCGGGCGCGCCAAGTGTCACGCGCGGAGCGCTCCTGAGATTTTTCCGATGCGCTCCGCGCGCGACACTTGGTACGCGCACGGCTTCTTCCGTGATTTTCGGTTTTCCTTTTTGGTTTTTCCTTTTTTCACTTTAGTCCTTATACTTCTAATGTTTTGTAATACCTTTTGATCTGTTTTGAGATCTGTTTCTCTCTGGTGTGGGCGAACCCTCGTCGCACACTGTTCTTTCTTTGCCGTCGCCGCCGCTGCTCTTGTCGCGTGGTTACGGCGGCAGCTGTTCCGGCCGCCGCGCTTGTTGCCTGCTCTTACGACAGTCCTTCTTTAGCGTTGAGCGCGCTTCCCTGTTCGCGATATCGTTGTTCCCTACTGGTTGCCTTCGTGGGTTTCCTGTTTCCCTTTTTCGTTTCTCTTTTTGTTCCCATTATATTTCCGGGATATGGAGATTTATGGGGTAGTTACGGGTGGGGACTACCAACACTATCAGATGTCAAGTTTGAACTGGGTTTTGTGGGATTAGTTCTTGATAACAATTGTGTTCCTTGCAGTTATGGCTTGTCCTTTTTGCCGTATGCCTGGTGGCCCGTGTTCTTCTGTTGATTCTTCTGTAGATGGGTTCAGTGTGGTCCTGGATCGGCGTTGTTGGAGGCGTATTGTAAGAAAATCATTTTATAGTTGTTCAATTTTTGGCACACACGCTTATTTCTTTTGGTGCTGCCCATGTTGTTTAGATTTTGATTATGATCCTTGTTTTGATTTGTTGTGCAGTATGTTCCGTGCAGTGTTAGAGCTCATCTTGCTCGTTACATCGAGGAGTGTAGGACTTTAGCCATAAGGAGGGGTGAAGAAGATACTGATCTTGCTCTTCAGTGCAATGAGGGTTATTTGTATGGTGTTCTGTTTAGTCATGGTCGGGTGAGGAGCAAATTCCATGGTCCTTCCTGGGAACGCTTGGTTAGTGATTATGGTGTTCGTCCTCGTGATATAATGACCATTAGGCTTGAACATTATGGAACTTGGATTGATATTGATTTTTATCGTGTTGGTCGTGGAGATGCGTTGTCTCCTTTACCTTCTGTTGGTAAGGTTTATTTTTAAGGAAGTTTTTATCTTGTTTTATTGAATATTTTGATTTTTCTTTTCCCTTGAGCCCGTGTAATTATATTTTATAGCTCTACATGGTTTGAGCGACTCCGAGAAGGAACTTGTTGGGAGTTGTTATTACACCCGTGGTGTTTTTTTTAATTATCAGCAGATGTATTTTATGAGGTGTCAACTATTTGATGATGACTACATACCCTGTTGTCCTTTTGTTCACAGGATTGGTTCCATGAATGTTAATGGTCATCATATGGTCAGATTTTTTTCCATTGTTTTTTCTTTGTTTATGTTTATTTATTTATTTATTTCTATTACGCCTTGTATTTATAGTTTTGAATTTTTATTCTATTTTTGATAGCTTGATGTTTTTTGTTAGGTTATTCCTGGTATTGTTGTGAGGAGTTTGAAGGAGTTTGTGACTTTTCCTAGAACTGGCGTTTTAACTCTTGAAGTTACTCTGGAATCTGGTGATGATGATATATATGTGAGCACTCCTTGCTCCTACTTCATTGTTTGGGTAATAGAATGGTGTTCAAACAGGAAGGTTTCAGTGATTTTCTCCAGGCATCGCCTATTGAAGTAAACAGCTTGGTGCTGATAACTTTCAAACAACATGTTGGGAGGCTTGTTGTTATCTTCAATCTTCTGCCGCAGTGATGTTAGTTATAACCTTTGAACATAATGGATTTTGATGTATAAGAGGCTTGGCCGTGCATCTCTTTTAAAGATGTTTTTTTGGACGGATGTTATTTAATTGTGGTCACAGTTATAAATACAGTAGAGGCACGTGTGTTGTTTACTCTGAGACATGGCTGTGCATCTCTTTTATGTGAGAGGCACCTGGATTCAGCAAACTGAGGCACGGAATTGAAGTCAGAACATGCACGGTTGTGTGGAGGCACGTAGAGTTACTATGGGTTTCATGTGAGGCACGTGGTTTGAGCAAACAAAGGCAGGGAATTGTAGTCAGTACAGGCACGGTTGTTTGGAACACGGGTATACTGAGAGGAACGTGTGTGCAATACCAAAGTTACACGGGCGATGACGCGTGCCGAACACACAGAGATACTATGGGTTTCATGCGAGAGGTACGTGTGTGTGTAGCACGTAGAGTTACAGTGGGTTTCATGTGAGGCACGTGGATTGAGGAAATGGAGGCATGTAATTGAAGTCAGTACAGGCACGGTTGTGCGGAGGCACGGGCGATCACTCGCGCGGAGCACGTAGAGCAAATAGAGGCACTGAAGTGCAGTCAGTACAAGAACGGTTGTGTGGATGCACGGTTTTGAACCCTCTTACTGCTGTCAAGTGTCTAGAGGCACGGATGTGTGGCAGCAGAGGCATCGGTTCGAATATTTGGTTAGAGAGGCTCGGTTGTGGATGCGCAGGTGTGAAGTCTCTAGGGTCATGGGTGCGTGGCACCAGAGGCATGGGTTGAGTTGACACTTAGAGAGCCACGGTTGTACATGGGTCAGTTGGACACGGTAGTGTAGTTTTGTGGCATCGTGGAGAACTGGTGTACGGAGAGGAATCTGTGAATGGACGGAGTGGTGTTTGATGTGAAATGGTTGTGTTGTGTGATTTTAATTTATTTTCAATGTGGTCAAAGTAACAAAGTTCTTGTCCCTTGCGTCTGTGTACCAAATGTTCTTCTGCAATATTTATGAATTGTTCATGCCAATGTTGAATAAGCATTCTACTGAAAGTTTGCAACGATACCATCACATATTCTTGTAAATGCATGATGCATGTTGTAAAGGTTGAGTATGAAAATTATATTACAATGTCGTGCGACATATCTCTCGTTCTATAGTCATGGATACAATATATGCTTGCTCAATACTGGGACATAACTTACTAATTACATTTAGACACGCACACCACTGTGTTCAAAGTTCATACGTAAAATAGTAATACAATACAGACAACATCTTTGAGCAACAACAAACATATTTACAACATGGGTTCATTCAACCTAAATTATCATAATAGTTGTGCCATGCACCCGATCACTCGATCACGACAGATCAATCAATCACGACACGATCCATTTTCTCGCAATTTACCAACCACTGTTTCCCTTTCGGCGCTTCCAGCCGCTGGAAGATCCCTCGTCTTTGTTCTTACGTGGGCGAGTCTTTCTTTCACTGGTTGTTGGTGGAGGTGACGTAGTCCGTTCTTGATGATTAGGATCTACGGTACAACTCATTTATTTAGAGACATTACAACCGCACACTTTTCCTGCCTCCTCAGACCATCAGTGGTTTTGGCCGTCGGATCTCAAGTTTTGCGCAAATCTGGCCGTTGCATGTCCTTCCAATCCTGCCTGGGCTTCGTTTGTTGTGCAGCTCGCGCTACATGGGCTGGATCGCTGCTCCCGTAACAAAATCTGTGGTCCCCTGTTCATTGGGCCGACTGGGCCTTCGGTCTGTCATAATCCTTGGAGCGCTATGTCGTGCAGCTCATTTCGAGCGGAAGCGGAACTTTATCCATCGAGAGGACTAGAGCCGGCCGGTCGCTGCGCTCAGAAAAATTAAATGAGCCGCGGGGTCGCACGGTTGCTGGTGAGTCCTGGTCAGATTGCGGATTGCACGGCCTTCCCATTCGCGGAGAGAGATCATGCCGAACTGCTTCGAGGACCGCACGCCGATGCAGGCACATACGAAGCGACGTTCGACTCTTCGGTGAAGCAAAGGATTGAAACTGACTCGATGGGGTTAAAGGAGGCAATCAATTATCAGTTCCTAGGAGCATTCATCGCAGGTGAAGTGCGCTACTCACCGGCGGTGACAAATTAAGGTGTGCGTTTCTTTTCCCCAACCTGCAGCTGCTTCGGTTCATGCGCGTGCACATAGCTTCGTCCTGGTGCTCTCCTTGCTCTTGTTTCTCTCCTCTCCCTTGGTGCTCCAGCAAACAGACTGCCTATCACGGTAGAGCGGTGATTGATTGCCCGGTGGCCACGCCCTAGATCGTCAAACTCTGACCAGGTTGTAGAAGCGGCGGCAGCAATGCTACGGGCAGCTTCGACAACGGTGACGACTCCACTTCAAGGATCTCCTCCTCAACCCCTCGGTTGCTCGCTCCGGATGGTCCATGGGGATTCCTCAACGACACCAATCTGTCGGCCACTGACGCATTCGTCAACCACTGAACCACATCGCCTGACAGCGCACGCCCCACGACAACCGCATCCCCGGACTGCCTCTTTGGTCTATGAATTTCTGACCCGCTGTCCTCCTCCCAAGCCTGCGGCCTCCCCAATCTACGTGAGCCAACAGTAACAAGGTGAGCAACTGAGCACCGCACCCCACTCCCCTTCCCCCATCTGTGTTTCTTTTTTTCTCAGATCTCGCTATTGATGGCTATTTGTAAATGGGGCTCCTAATTAGGTTTGTGTCGACAATTGTCAGTAACTATTTTGCAATTTTGATTGACTGCTATGTACAAGTTGTTGATGATGTGTTTTCTTTGCAGCAGGCAATCGATAAAATGAGCCCCCCACCCCCCACCCACCATCGTTTGATCATCTCCATCGTGTTGTGCTAGGGAACTTGGTTTCAGTGTCTCAGCTATGAGCTATATCACTAGGCCTATTTTTCCATTTCATCTTTAAAATTTGTTATCCAATATAAACGAT